ATGTAAAAATGGATGAACAACTGTATCTCTTGTCTCCTCAAAAGGGCTATAAAATTCCCAAAGGCAGGGATTATAAACTTTTATTTCTTCTTCATACACAAAACATCAGTAGAGGGTTGAATAATCAGGAATCAGTCAATACAAATATTCCTTAGCAAACACATTTTCTGGGGAGGAACAGCTTTCACCATCTGGCCGTACAAAGGACAGAACAGTCTAGACCCTAAATCCACGACACAACCAGTTAAATTAGTGCAATCCCAGGAACCGCAGAATTATGCTGTTTCTCCCCTCACTTCCACACGAAAAAGTAAAAATAAAAATAAAATTAAAATGGCAGAATTGTCCACTGAGTGTCTGAGAAATGTCTTGTTATTCTCTATGGCAACATATTGAGGTTAACACCAGGGACTACAAATGCAACTGGGGTCAAGGCCTGTATTCCCTAATCCATCCAAGCATTTCCACTTGCATCTTCTTATGTACATTTGAGTAGGTTTCTCTCTGTCAGGGGGATTATTTTATTTAAAGATACGAAAATTTGGGGGGATGAGGTAGAAGACTGCCTTATCTACGAAGGTCTCCTAATTCCAGCACTGTACCATCTGACTCCTGATTTGTTTCATTTCAGCTCTCAGAGACCACCATTGGACTAGACCGTGGATTATGCCACCAGCCTGACTCCTTGATTTTATCATCATCTGATTCTTAATATATTCACTAAATTTGACCTATTGCTTGACTGGGTTTGCCTCTGGGTTTGCTCTGACAGGCACATTAGTTTCAGATCCCATCCTCACTCTGATCCCTAACATCTCCCTAACCTACCACTCACAGCTGTGGTTGTCCCTCCCTGCCCGTTCACCTAGAACCATCAGCCTCCCACAACCACCTCTTGCTCACAGCCACAACCACAAACATGAGGTTCTGCAGAGAAGTAAGTTTACATTCCTGAAAATGAAAGGCTTTGAATTATTATGAAAGCGACACACACACATTTTAACAAAATTTATACAATACAGAAAACCACAAATTAGGATGTAAAGTGTCCTTATAATCAGACATACAAGAAGCAATCACTAATTTCTTACTGCGCAGTCTTGTGAGTTCCTTCCTAACTCAACATCTTAGTTTTGGCAGAAGAATTTTGTTTCATCTTTGTTATCCATCAATTTGGATTGAGAGTCACAAGAAGAAGTGACGACAGTGTTATGAGCACCTGATAGTCAATAAATAGTTTTTGGCACTAATTATAGAGTAAATCAATTGCCAAGAACAAAAGTATGAGAGATCTGTCACAATTCTACACCTGTTGTTTTCCTGGTTGAACATTTTGACTTCAATAACATTTTCAGTTAGAATGTTTATAGGTGACATACGAAGAGCATAAAGAGAGATGTAAGAATGCTTTGGCGTCATGGTTCGAATCCAGTTTTGCTTTGCTCCAATCAATTTTTTCAACCTACTGGGCTTCCTTCCTAACAATACAGATTTGATTCTCCCTATAACCTAGTTGAATTATAGGCCTTAGTTTTTGTAAGTGAAGTGCGACATGAATTTTAAGCCTTTCATAACTATGGCTATATCTGAAGTCAGATTAGTCTTTACAGTACAAAGAGATTTAAGAGAATCCCTCTATCCAAGTGCTTGCATTTCACAAACAAGGTTGAATTTTACATTTATGTATGAATACCTATAAGTCTTAGAGAAGTCAGATATAACCAATAGTTTCATTTCACCTCTGTACATGCACCTCTAATCAGACTTAAAACCTTGTTAGATTAATAACGAACTCTAAAAACGGAAGGGGAGACAGAAACATTATTAATAGATATAGGTGTTAGTCTTTCTTGCTGGAAACCAAAAACAGCATTCCGTCTTTTGTGTATGTTTCTAGATGTCTAGGGATGTGTGTGGGGATGTGTTGTATACATTTATACGTACTGTAGTAACTTTTAAGGAAACTATATAACCCCTCCCCCCAGCTAAAATCAATGTATATTAGAAAGTTTGGAGTGTAATCAACTCACCACCTCCCTTCAGGGAGTCACTGCAGGATGTAAAATAAAAGCACAAAGCTGTACCATTTTGCCTTTTTCTTTCAGGAACTAAATTTACATTACCCTTCTGCCATATGTTCAGGTAGCTTTCAATGGTACCTCATGCAGCTGTGTCATTGAATTCTCCAACCTTAATGAATAAACTAATTACAGTCTGAAATGAACTCTTGCAGACTAGTTATCTCCTGCCATAGATCAAGAAGAGAACTTTATTCCCACAACTATCTGCTAATTTGCATTAGCCATAAAAAAGCACACCAGAGCATCCTTCCCTCTCCAGCTGGGCAGCCAGAGCTGCATCAATAGGATACTATGCCATTGGTATTAATTCTTCACCGTTCAAGTTTGTAGCAGTAAATTTGTCACTGCCACAACGATTCTCAAGTACAAATGCAACTAGGAAACTATTGATTTACTTGAATTGGATGGCAGCACTGCTATAATTGTTAGTTTCACTGCATTAAATTTTACAATTGAGCACCATTATTCATTTGAGTCTTGGAGTTCTGTTTGTTTACAAAATATTTCCAAAGAGAGGTCAAAATAAAGATTTGACTACTTAAAGTATTTAACGGAGTAAGAGTCACTTTATCAAATACAAATATAGCTAAATTGATGGCAAAAGTTATCAAGAAAACAAGCTCGGGAAAGAGAGACACTAGACGTAAATCAGCCTTCACTCTGAATTCAGCGTCTGTCCTCTGCTCCCAAAGTCTAGATAGGAGCCTGCTGTATCTGTTAATTATAACATGGGGTTAGATTCCAACTACATGGTTCTCACATGACTAACCTCATGGTGGCTTTGTCGTCAAATTAACTCTTTCTCACCAGCAGCAAGTCACAAAATTTTAAGAGACTGACTGTAGAGTGCCCCGGGCCCTTTGACTTCATTCTCCCTCAACATGCTTGCGTATTTTCCCAGTAGAGCTGTAAAATTGCAGAGTGAAAGCTGGGACAACCTATCATAAAAGTGAGAGTTAGGAGACCTGGATTGGTCCCAGTTTTGAGCATACTAGCTCTGGGACCCAGACTCAAACAGCTTCTACTTCCTTTTCCACCAGGTGGGGTGTAATGAAGCTCCATTAAGAACATGTAGAGGAGTGGACACCACATGCCTTTGAGGCTACATGCATTTAAGATGTCAGTGTCAATTTTTACTTGACCCCTCTGCCTAGGTCAGACCTCCTGCTGCTTATTCTATTCACAATGCATTCAGATCCTCTTAGAGAGAACATTCAAAAACTATCATCATCATCAAAATGTGACATTTAGAATATATTTCAGTTTTCCTTTCGAGAGCTAAAGCATCTTCCCCTGCAGGATGTCCTACACCTCACAGAAGCACAAGGTTGTAAAGTAACTCAGGAGATCACAAAGTCCTGGTAGCAAATGAGATTAAATTGAAGCCATCCTGGCCAAAAAGTAGCTCTCAAATTTTCCTTAAAAGAATTAAATTAAAGTTGGAAAGTAGGACTAGAAAGAGTATCCTAATAATAGTATAATACTGAAAAGTAGGATTACTATTGTAGTAACTTCCATGTGTATAGGATGGCATAGTTTGCAAAGTGTTTCACATATATTTATTTCCTACTCAATGCCTACGTTATATAGTCCATCTGCATATTCTAATACCATGAGATGAAATTAATGGGTGTTTAGTTTTCATACAATACCTTCATTTTATTGATAGCATAAATCCAGATCTTTGCCTTCTATACTTCCACAATTTGTTTTCCTTCCCACATTTCTAACATCCTGAAATATACATTCCTGAACTACCTTCCATTTGTTTTTCAATTTTTCTCTAATTTAATTTCCCCAGTAACCAAAAAAAATTTACAAGTGAATGTAGTATGACCAGGACTTAGACAGGAGTGGATTAAGCACTTGGTTAATTTGCCCAGTACCATGCTAGGCCACATCCTCTTGCAGACCCAAGGAACTCTCAAGGACTTACACACAGGCGCAGAGCTGTTCTCTGCTCCAATATAATATGTAAAAGCCAGCACAGATCTTCTGATGATTTAATACAATCTATTCTCTCTTCCCAAAAGAAAAATAATTTCAATATGCAACATAAATGACCTAAGGAGGCGCCATCTCCATCAGAAGTTTGCAGTTTCCTCCTCTAGGTCTCCCAAGTTAGCATCTTTCACCACGTTCTAAATCTTGTTCTGGAAAAAGAGTCCCTAGTTCTATCAGTCAGGATCCCAGCAGGAAACAGACGGCACACTCATACTGGCCCATTAGGAGATTGTTTACAAGGGTGTGGACAGGGCTTAAGATTTAGGGAAACTAGTAAGAAATAGAGCTATACAAGGGAGCTAGTAAGGTGAGGAGAGTGGGTTGAGGGGAGAGATTAACACCCAGGGCCTGAAAAGGGAAGGATAAGGCATGGGTTATCAGAACTCAGGGAGAAGAGCTTTATGGAAAGGTCCATGCCTCACTCCGGAGCTGTGGACTTTGAGAGAAGGAAACAGCCAACCTGTGGTGACCCAGCAAGGAAGAAGCCAGGGCTCCATTTGCCTCCCTCTCTTAGACGTCCTGTCAGTTCTCACCATTGGTCAACCCAACCAGAAGCCAGAGGCAAGGGGATCTCCTTAAGGTAATACTTAGAGGCCAGCTTCCTGGGCCTGGAGAAGAACAAAGAGAGGAGGTGCTGGAGGGGCAAACAGGCAGAGATCCAACAAAGTAAATTAGCCAAGAGAAGTCCATCAACAGTGGGTAGTGAGTTTTCTCAAATGTCACCGAGAAATAGTCAAATTCCTTTATATTTAAGTATTCTACATTGATATCAGACCATAATATTTCCCACGTAAATTATTTTCTTATTTTATGCACAACAATTAAGAATTTTAGAAGCTGGAGCGTCATGCAAGTAAAACAGATTCTTACAAAATCTGAGCTTGAAGGCAACTCAGCATTTGAATTAATCCTTACCTGCAGCAAACTCCACATCAAAGAGGTGGTCAATAGTGCTTTCAAAAAGTGGCCCATTAAAGCTGAAATTAAAAAAATAAAAAATAAATTAAAACGGCCCAGTTGTCCAGTCCACTGGCATCATCTCCGCCTGCATACCATCTGACATCGTTGTCCTCCTGACACTCTCTCATGCTTTGGTGTTCATATTGCTCTTTCCTGCGTCTCCTTCTCACTCTGACTGCCCTTTCTTATTCTTTGTTTCTGGCTTCTGTCATCCTGCTCCCAAATTAAACATCAGTGTTTCACAGGACTTGATCATTGCCCTGCTCTCTCCTTGTTCTGCATACTCTCCAGAGCAAACTCACCCACTCACGTGACTCACCGACATCTCCACAGCTGTCCTTTCCAAATGAACGACCGGCAGTCTTTTTCCTCTCCAATCTGTCTGCCTCACTGCTATTCTGATCACATCACTGCTCAGTTTAAAAACCTTCAATGGCTCCCAATTGTCTACGATAAGATTTCTGAGTATAGCATTGAAGTCCTTGAGGTCATATCCATATCCCACTCTCCAAGTCTCATCACCCACTACAAGGTAGAGGACGTGTACCTTACATTTAAAAAGAAAAAGATCCCACCACGTACTTTCACATACCTTTGCGTTTTCTCATGTTGTTTCCTTCCTACCCATAGCTTCTTTCCCTAATGAATTCTTACTCATCCTTCAAGGACCAATTCAAATGTTCCCTATTCTGTGATGCTTTCCCCAAACTTCCTAGGGAGAGTTAACAGGTCATAGTCCAACAAAACTATTATTATACTGTAATAGATTTAGCTTTTTACATATCCATCTCATCTGCTGGGTTGTGAGCTCTTTTAGGGGTAAAACCATGTCTCATTATTCTTTGACACAATGCTGAACATGAAGTAAATTGAAAGTACATATGTGCTAACTTACATATTCTCACAATCATGACAGTAAGTCCTACCTCTAGAAAGAAGAACCTGCTTGAACAAAAAAACCTTGAGTAGATGTAGAAAGGAGTTGATCTAAGATGTGCAAAGTCAACATTCATCAGTTAAGCCTGGGTTTTAGGCAGAATTAGCATAAAGGTCAAGAACATGGGCTCTAAGGCAAGACACTTTAGGTTAGGTTTGCCAGATAAAATACAGGACACTTATTTAAATTTTAATTTCAGATAGACAATGAATAATTTTTTAGTGTAAGTAGTCCCAAATATTGCAAAAAGAAGACAAGTATTGCACGAATGCATGGGTGTCATGTGTGTGTATGTATGTGTGCACACGAGTGTTTTTGTGTGTGTTTCCCCCGAATCTGGTGATTCTACCTAGGTTCAAATCTTGGTTCTACAGCTTCCTGGCTGTGTGATCTCAGAGAAATTAATTAACCTCTCTGTTCTTTGCTTTCTCATTTTTAAAGTTAGAATAATAAAAATGTACCTTATAGGATGGTTGTGAAGATTAAATGAGTTCATACACACATAAAGCACTTAGAACACTGCCTGTCTTATAACAAGTTCTCAATATTAACTACTGGCGCTACATAATGGCCATTATTATTATTACTAGAAGTTTAATCTTTGTCTTTTTTTTTTTTTTGAGGAAGATTAGCCCTGAGCTAACATCTGCTGCCAATCCTCTTCTTTCTGCTGAGGAAGATTGGCCTTGAGCTAACATCTGTGCCCATCTTCCTCTATTTTATATGCAGGAAGGCTGCCACAGCATGACTTGGTAAATGGTGCATAACTCTACGCCTGAGATCCAAACCGGTGAACCCCAGGCTGCCGAAGCAGAGCATGCAAACTTAACCGCTGCACCACCAGGCCGGCCCCTATCCTTCTCTTAATGCTCATCTTATTAAGATAGGTTTTATATGCATCTTAATGCTTATCAATGATACTGAATGTTAGAAATGTCTTTCTTCTTCATTACTAACAACAAAAAATTCATCCATATGTACCAGACCGTACAGATATCTCTTCTACTGTTTATTAGGTTTACCACCAAAATGGTCCAAATCTTAAAAAAAAAAGAAAAAGGTAACTATGTGAGGTGATGGATGTGTTAATTAACTTGACTGTGGTAGTCATTTCACAAAGTATATGTATATTAAATCACCACGTCATACACCATTTAAAAAGTTATGTTGTACAACTTATACACAATTTGTGTCAATCATACCTCAATAAAGCTGACAAAATTAGTTGGTTATAAATAAATACATTTTGAATGAATTAATGAAAAAACATAGTTCAAATCCAAATGAAATAGCAAGAAATACCCTAAAGATCTTCATTTAAACAGAGATATGCTAGCTGAGAACAATGATTATGAATAACACAAGCCAAGCAGTTCCGCCTTAAATAATCTTAGATGTTTGTAGCACAATTCATTTTTTCAAGTCTCTGAAATGAGTCAAAAACTAACTGGTGAGAAATTCAACTGTATACAATATAGTTTAAAATTTTAGAGATTAAAAAAAGAACATGATACAAAGATCATGCTCTAATGTCACGGAATGAGAATCTCATTTTCAGTCATGAAAAAGAAAAAAAATTTTAAAAATTGATCATTTTCACCCATATGTAAATTTGTCAGCTCCATGACAGTAACGCATTAGGGTTATTATGCTGGACTTCAAACCCACCCTGATGGTGATCACTAAAACTCATCTCACAAGTTCACTAACCAAGAGCGATACTGTACAGATCACGAGAGCATGTGTCTATTTCTACATCATCCCTATTGTTTTGTCATTGCTTATCCAGTCAAATAGAATCCAAGTTCCCAACTAAAAGCACAGCCAAGTGAAGAGAGGAATATGTCAGGTAAGAAATGGCTCCACAAGCTGAAATGAATATGCTCTAGTGGGAAATACTGTCTCATGTATTACTATTAAAAACATGCGCGCACACACACACGCAGTGGCACATCTCAAAGCAATAAAGGGCCTGCAGAGAAGGAAGGTAAAATATGCTTGCTGAGCAATCATTACTGAACAGGGGGGAAGCCTGAAATCAACAAAGGACCAGTCATGGGAAATTTATAAGTTAATATCGGTCACACCTGCAAATTACTACAGTGAGACCCCTGACCAAATCCAGAATACCACTTAAATGGATTTGGTGAGATAGTTATACAGCCCTTGGAGTCATTGAAATGCTCTGAATCTAAGCTTGTCAGTTATCCCAATTAAGTGCAGTGGAAGTAATATCCATCACAGTGCAGATGAAGCAAATTTAACTGCACCATTCGAGAACAGGGTTTTTCTTGGAATCTCTACTGCATTTATTCACACAGCTTGTGATTCAGGATGCAAATTTATTGTTTGTATTTAATGGCCAATCGGGATTTTTTTTTCTCATTGCTTAAAAATAACAAGACTCTCACATGCCTTAGGAAACCCCAAACACAGAACATTCCACTGGTACCTTCTGGGAGTTTAGCAAAGCATGTATTTTGAGCTGCTCTCCAAAATAACCCCATTTGAGTGACAATTTACACACATGTCACATCTTTTCATTTCCCTTGTTTTCCTGGAAAAGGTCAAAGCCATCAAGCCGACATGCTTAGCCAGAGTCAGGGAGAGTCATCATTTCACAACCGTGAAGTGGAACTCACACAGCAAATGAGGCTAATCATTCAGCACGTACAAGGAAAAGAGATTATGAGATCATAATTTTCTCACCAATTGAGAATCACTGTGCATTCAAATAGAAATTAATAGGAAAAAATTCAGAATACTTACCAAGAAAATAAGAGCACTAAATAAAAGGATCTGTCATCTGGGAAGTGACTTTCCATTTCAAGCAAAACAGAAAGCTCTCAGATACACAAAAGATAAGACAGCAAGAAAGCAAACCATCCTGAAAACAATTTAACTCTCTCCCTTTATTCTCAAAATATGAGTTATGACACAGAATGCCCTGAATGGCCTTGCAGATGCCACTCACCTGGAAGCAGTAGCACTCTTTTTGGCTGGCAAGTGGGAAATAATTCTGCTTTCCTTTATTTGGCTACAAATATAGATGCTCTATTCCTAAACATGTCAGTAATGCCGTTGTAAAGACTGATGAGGTTAACTAATGGGAGCACACTGATGTGCACCTGCATTTTAAAACCTTGTAAAAATTCTGCTTAACTTTTTCCGGATGAGCATCTCTCAACAAAAAAGATTCTTTAATGATGTAGGAAGAAAAGATTCTTTCTTAGCTTTGATGCATTCAGGAGAGCCTAGACAGAATTCATTTGTCCATGGAAGAAATATATAATAGATTTTAGAGAAATTCTACTAAATCCCAAAATTATATTCTAATGAGGATGGATTCTGTTAAAGAAAAGGCTGGGTGGCCGTTTTGCTCAGCCAAGCACCCTGGTTGGTGTTGGATATGCAAAGGTTGTCCATAGGGGTGAGTTTGGGAGTGGGGGCTTGAGAGAGTTGAGGCTTTCCGAACAAAAGAGTGAGAAGAATTTGGAGTACCTGAGAGAAAACTTGGAGAGATGGCTGAGACAAAGGAGATAGGGGAGCCAGCAAGATGGAGAGAGGCCAGCGAGTGGCTTGACCAGCAAGACATACCCCTGTGATGGCGGCACCAAAAATACCTTTAAGGACAGGAATGTTTAATACACGACTGTAATTTGTATTCTGTGATGTGTGATGTGGCAATGTGACTCCTGCCTTTTGATTCCACAATCCTCTGTAAAGATTCTGACTAATGAAACAACTCCTTGTTGCTGGAGGGATCAAGAAGGGGCCTGCCATACAGAACAGAGACAAAGGACCATTACAAGACACAGAGCTGAAAAAAGGGATTCCCCCAGAAGCAACCCTGGGAAGGTAAGTTGCCCAGGATTTGTAGAAATTTTAGAAAGGGCATTGGACGTTCCAGGGGATGTAGAAAAGGGTTTGAGTCATCTTATGAAAATCTCCACGGGCAGAGCAACCAGCTGATCTAGGTACATCTAGGTACAGATGTTTAAATCATTCTTGCAGCTTCACCTCCTAGCTGAATATCTATTCTGTGCTTTAATTCTGGCAGGAATTCTCTCTTTGCGTAGT